ATGAAGCTCACCTACTCCACTGGGGGAGGAGCGATACCTGGAGCAGGAGAAGAGAGAGAGAGAGAGAGAGAGAGAGAGAGAGAGAGAGCAACGCCAGACAACACCACTGGGGTCATAACATGATTGCTCACACCTTCTGTTGTGCCATTAAAAACAAAAAATATTACAGTTCATCCTTAAAGGGACCTGGATGTCTATACCACAAATCATGACAATCCCTCTGATAGCTGCTGACACAAATCACAAATGTCAACCTCAGGTTAGCACTACTAGTTAGTGGCAAAACGCTTGTTTTACAAAATGACCTTTTAGTGGAGTACAACACACACACACACACACACACACACACGATCATTTCTTCATTTTCATTGTTCTCTTTATCACTTCATGTCCAAAGTACACAAAGGTCTATCGTCAGGTTCTCTCCTGTAAATTTACTGATGTGGCACATGTTCCTGCATCTGCACTTCAGTAGCAGAAGTGAACAATTTGCCTTTCTCTTTCCTTCTGTCCTTCTCTCCTTATTTTTATTTGTGTTTTTGTGCACCAGGATCACATATGTAACCCTGCAATCTTGTTTATTACTATTTACTTATAACTACTTAATAAACTGATATTAAAAATGCATTATCTTTCTCAGCTTGTGCTTGGACTGTTTTTTGTTGTCAAGTGTTTGTTGAAAATAGGGAGTCTGAAAGATGTAGCACAAAGGTGTTTTTTCAATTTAAAAAAATAGCATTGACAACCAAATAAGGCTGACACACACAAGAAGATGACTGAGGTTTAAGCTGAGTTCTCTCAAACACTTGCCTGAAATGAACTTTTGTCCCTTGCCTGTTGTCAGTTACTTGCTCCTGCATTTTAAGGCATTTTATTTTTTAGTAAAAGTCTGTATAATCCAAACTCTGCTGCATAGATTTTGACCATTGTTCTTTTAATTTGTCTCACGAGTCAACTTTATGGACGTGCAATACAAAATTATTGTTTTACGGAGGGTAGGCAGAAAGTAGAGGACGGTTAGCAGATGTAAAGAGATGAGGAGAGAGGAGGAGGAGCAGGAAGAGGTGAGTCATGTTGTGAGGGTAATTAGGGTTCAATGAACTGCACAGGTAATGAAAAAACATGGAGGGAAGCAGTCAACAGGTGCTGATCATGTGCACTGAATCTTTGCCTCTACCACACACACACTCTCATACAAAACACTACTCAGGTCCGCAGGATCTTTGACATGTCAATTTGTGCTGCTGCTTCAAATGAAAACAACTTTGAAGTTGCTGACATTTAGGGAAACCGAGAGCCAGCGACTACAAAACTGAAAAGTTATATCACAACATATGTATGGCTCACTCATCAGTTCCCCTATAAAATACTTCAGAGAAGCTTGACAGTTGGTTGGCAGCCAGGAGTAGAAGAAATAGGCTGAGTTACTGTATTACCTTAATGTCCCATCACTAAGTGGATAGTAAGAGAAAGACATAAGTGGTCACTGCTGTTAGGATCTGCTCTGTCTTCCCCTCAATCCCTGGTGTTTCCACTGTGTTCCCCTTCCTGGTGCTCTGACAGGAAGACACATAGAGGCAAAGCCCACATTAGAGATAACGGCTGTATGAATTATATGCAATTGAAGGATTTGAACTTCACCTGTACTGTCAAGATTGTAGCCTGTGTACTTTATCATGTACTTTTGTTTGTCTGATTTAGTCATTTGCTTTCTTACTTTCTTAAGATGAGACGAACTATGTATGACCTGCATGGCCACATGCTTGCATACAAATTGCACATGCATAACATACTCGAACATACTGCTATCCTAATGATATCTTATAATGTGCTCACATCAGGGCTGTAGCCTTTGTTACCTTTGTGATGCTTATTTCATCTGGACTTGTTTTTCTGATCAGGTGCTTATTTTGTAGATTCATAACATAGCATATTATTTAGTTGTAGGAAGGGCTAAAAACACTTTTTTGGAAATGGAAATGTATTCGTTAGACATATATAATGTGCATTGTTTACTGTCTCTGTTAAGTTACACTCCTGATTTATACAAACCTTTGAGGTCATGGAAAAGTGGGAATCAATCCTTAATCACACCATATTAGATGTTATAAACTACATCAAGGTCAAGGTCCACATACTATAGTTGATTCTATTAATCATCAACCACTGACTTTGTCCTCCCATGATAACACCCTAAGAAGGCATAATGCTCCTAGACGTTGAGCACATTTTCTTGATATACCAAAAGGAGGTAGAGGATCTTCACATAAGCCAATGTGGAGGGAGCCTGCATTAAAGCCTGCTGTAAAGAAGGTGTTGGGCAGCCTGTGTGTCAAAGGCCAGTATATCTGGAAAACACAAAGAATGTGATTTCAGCATGAGACTCTGCTACAACTGTAGCCTGGGGAAAAAGACAAGGAGCTGGAAATAATGTAACTCTGTAACAAAGGAATAGGATATAACCACTGCATTCAGCTTCACTGGAGAATTGAAAACAGGGCAAACTGCCTCCAAGCAACTTGTCTGAGGGAAAAGCTATGGCCACGTCAACTGACAAGTAAGTGGAACCTAACCAGGATGTGGATGCTTCACTACTAAGTAATATTTACAAAAGTCTTCCCCTTGTGCAGAATGATGTACGATACTGTATGTGCAGATACTGGTACTAGAAGGCTGTTTTCACATTCATCTGCTGAAGTGGGAAAGATTCTCTGTGATCTCTTTTAGGTTCCCTCGAGTCTATTCATTGGTGCCCACACTGAGCATGTTTCATTTGAGCCCTAAACCATGAAGTTATTTTCAGACAACCAACAATATTTTTAAGTCAATTCTTTGAGACACTACACAATAGCATCCTGTTTTTCTCGATTCTGTTTGGACATGTGTCTCCTAATTCTTGCTACTGTATATTTTTAAGATGATAATAGATTGATTTTGTAATAGACTTTGTGTGGGAGTCAAAATTTAAATTGGAGTTAATAATAACACCAAGATTTCTGACTTTAGGCTTCAAAGAAAGGGACTCGAGATGTGCAACAACTTTCAGCCTTCCTTTTTTGGCACCAAAAACAATTATCTCAGTTTTGACTTTGTTTATTTGGAGGAAGTTTGGGCACATCCACTCTTTAATTTGGTCAATGCACAGACACAGTGAGTCAATAGGAGCATAGTCCCTTGTTGACAGAGCTACATATAATTGAGTGTTGTCCACATATGATACTCCTCATGAGGTCATGTTAGCTTGCTCACTTTGTATTTGTCCCTGTTTTGCAGATAGGACATGAACCAGTTTAGGACTGGCACAGTCTTAAGTCCAACCCAATTTTCCAGTCTGCCTAATGGTATTGAATAGTCAACAGTGTCAAAAGCAGCACTGAGATCCAGTTGTCTAAAGAGCCATTTGAAGTTAAAAAGTTGTGAAGTTGTTGGTAGACAACTTTATCAATTGTTTTACTTAAAAAGGGTAGAATTGATGTGGGTCTATAGTTGCTAATTACAGAGGCATCCAGGCTATTCTTTTTTAGTGGAAGCTTAATAACTGAACTTTTTAAGGCCTTTGGGAAAATGCCTATTTGGAAGGTGCTGTTAACTATTTGTAAAAAGTCTGTCAACAAGCAGCTATAAACATTTTTGAGAGAGTTTGTTTAGAATAACATAACTTTGTTTATTTATCATGCACAGACAAGCTGAAAAAACTGTTGAAAGTGCTGATATGTGGCATTCACACAGTATCTCATTTATGTCTGATTACCATTAAAAGTTTGTGAGGGAAAAGATTTAACTTATTAATATTTTCAGTGATTTATAAAAGCGTACACATACAAAGGATTTAAATTAAAAAATGGACAAAAATTGGGATAAAATCACTTTAAATTGAATTGCTGACATTTTTTCTTTGTATTTTTCATAAAAAGTGAAACAATATATTTTTCAAATTGATTTGTTTTATAATATCTTAAGTGATTATCACGAAGATTTGTAAATTCTTATGTTTTTTTTTTTTCTTTTGGTTTCTGACATTTTTATACTGTGTTAAATTGACAAAATAATAAGTTAGCCTCATAGCTGACCGTGTACTGAAAAGGATGTGGGGTAGGGGAGACGTAGGGGGATGGTTTTAACATTTTTGACATTTCTGTCTGTATATACGTCTTGAAGCTCATCAATAATATGAGTGATATTAAAGTTTGACACTTTAAAAAACATTTTTACAATCTGTGTTGAAGCCCACTTGGGCGAGACAGACCAGTCTCTCCTGCACTCAGCTATGTTTCCATGAAAAGTGACCGGTCCAGGGATGATCCTCCCAACTTCAGTGAAGGAGAACCAGGGTAAGATATTTTAGTATGTTGGGATTCTGATACAGTGAGATCTAGAGTTATAGAGAAAATAAACTATAGATTTCATCTTGAAGCTCAAAAATAATATTGAAGATGTTAAAAGTGTTCATGTTTGATAGTGTAAAGGCTTTTATCAATCTGTTTTAAAGCTCACTTGAGAAAGACAGACTAGTCTCTCCTGCACTCAGCTGTGTTTCCATGAAAAGTGACCGGTCCAAGGATGGTCCTCCCAACTTCAGTGAAGGAGAACCAGGGTAAGATATTTTAGTACGTTAGGGTTCTGATACAGTAAGATTTGGAGTTATAGAGAAAAGAAACTAGATTACATCTTGAAACTCACCAATAATATGAGAAATATTAAGGTTTGACACTGTAAAAAACATTTTTACAATCTGTGTTGAAGCCCACTTGAGAGAGACACACCAGTCTCTCCTGCATTCAGCTATGTTTCCATGAAAAGTGACCGGTCCAGGGATGGTCCTCCCAACTTCAGTGAAGGAGAACCAGGGTAAGATATTTATTAATGTTGTGTGAGAAATATTATAAGTTCTACTCTGAGGCTCACCAATAATATGAGCGATATTAAGGTTCAATACTGTAAAAACATTTTTACAATCTGTTTTAAAGCCCACTTGAGCGAGACGGACCAGTCTCTCCTGCACTCAGCAACGTTTCCATGAAAAGTGACCGACTGAAGGACGACCCTCCCAATGTCAGTGAAGGAGAACCAGGGTAAGATATTTTAGTACGTTAGGGTTCTGATACAGTAAGATTTGGAGTTATAGAGAAAAGAAACTAGATTACATCTTGAAACTCACCAATAATATGAGAAATATTAAGGTTTGACACTGTAAAAAAGGCTTCAGTGAGACAGACTAGTCACTCCTGCACCTAGCAATGTTTCCATGAAAAGTGAGAGGCATGGTAGGAAAAACAATATGCGCATTCACTGTAAAAGTTAATACAAAAGTGAAGCATACCATTTGACATCAAATAAAGTATAGGATGTCCATCTTTGTTACATTAAATTATTTTTTTCATTTTTGTAGTAGCATTAGGATTATTCCTTTGAGCTGACACTAAACATATCAAATGCGCAGTATGAAGGAAAAATCTCTAAAAATCAATGCTATGGTAATCCTCAACAACAAACCCCAATGACAATGCAGAATCCTGCATTTTCCTGCCTGAGTGTTTTTCACCTTTCTTAGCTCATTGTCTGGACTTTGGTTGGGCTACTCCTGAGAGGAACAGCTTAGGAAAATTTAGGAAGAAAAGACTGTTGAAGTAATCTTCTATTGCTCAAGTTTAGTTTCAACACACATATGTCCATGTGTATAATGCGTGCAATATCATAACTGATCTCAAAATGTTAGAAGCTCAGTCAAGGAACGCTTGACAAGCACACTTTTGCTGTAGCAAGTCACCTACCAAAGAGCCCAGGATTATCCACAATGTGCAAATATAAAAAAAATAACCTCCCTTCTCTGCTTGTGTAGCGGTCTTGTAATCTCTGTGTGCGTTGTGTACTGTATTAATTGACGATGACCATTACTGTTGGCACTGGGTCTTTTATTTGGGACCTGGCAGAGGGGTCAACCACACAATTACACCCCGGCCTTCCTCTCTCACACACATCTGAAAAATGTAAAATAAAAAAATTTAAATAAAGTGCAGGTTAGCTAACATATGTAGCCTAACCATTTTATTAACACTAATAACAGAAAATACCGTCAACTTTTGATTAAAAAAAAAAGGACTTGCTCGACCATTCGGGAGCTATGAAAATAATACTTAAACCACTTCTTAGTATAAAAAACTTAAATAATTAATATAACAATTACGGAGCTCATAGCTCATGCACCTACCAGGGGAACAGCGAGGTCCACATTTGCTAACCCCCCCCGGGGTGCACAACCCTAAGCTACAGGGGTGCTGCCTTTAATGACCATGGGAAAGATCATGTGTGAGATGAGTTTGAGCAAGTAGAATCACTTACTACTCCGTTACACTTGACAAGCATAGACACAGTCACATCCATAAACATGACAGAAACTATAGATGCAAACGGCTGGTGGTCAAGCTAGCTTTCAGAGACAATACCCTACTGCTTCCACAAGAGGGCAGTAAATTACATGACGAATGCAACAGGTTATATGAGATTCTTTATGGGTAAGAGAGCTGTTCTATGCATCAGTAAAGAGAGATATACGGCTTCCCCCTTAGTATTTCTCTACTGATGTCTATTATTAGCACTGCGTGCCCTGTTCGCACTGATGGCACACCACTGACACAAACTGAGCACTGAACAGTGAAATGTTTTGTCTGTGTTGAAGCCGGACCCAGTCACAGAAACCAGTGCCCAGCAGAGTTACCAGGATCCAGTCTGAGGATGACCCACTTAACTTCACCAGAGATTCAGGTACGCAAACAAAGATACATTTGAAAAAGGAATTAAAATGTCATAACACTGGATGTTCGTAGTCACACTGTAATGCCATTTTCCTCTTTGGGCTTTAACTGAAGTTATAACACAATCTGATAATCACATGACACTCTATTTAGTAGCTGCCATCATTGTGTTCCAGAGTTTAAAATTACTACAGTGTTTCATTTGAAGTTTTTATGATTTCTATTGTATTTTCTCACTTTAGAGAAAGATGCCAAACACGAACTCAAAGCACACCTGAAGAGGAGAATCCTCGAAGATTATAAAGAGCAGAGTCAACATGAGAGTTACACAGATCTCTATAAGATAAAAACTGTCAAAGGAAAGGAGGATAAACAAACACTTGTAAAAAGCTACAATGAAATATTTAAATCTTTATTGAGAAACAAACGAACAGTGCTGATGAAAGGAGTGGCTGGTATTGGTAAAACATTTAAAACAAGGAAGTTCATGGTTGACTGGGCAAAAGGAAAATCCAACACAGACATAGACTTGATAGTGCAATTTGATTTCAGTGAGCTGAATTCAAGAAGAGACAAAGTTCAAAGTATGGAAGATCTGCTTAATCATTTCTTTAATGATATCAAGCAACAAAGAGTTCCCGCCTATGACAAGTATAACATAGCTTTCGTCCTTGATGGCCTGGAACAATGTCAACTTCATCTTGACTTTGAAAACAACAAGGACCTGAGTGATATAAAGGAGCGAGCCTCCATGGATGTGCTGCTAACAAACCTCATCAAGGGGAATTTGCTTCCCTCTTCTCGTCTCTGGATCATCTCTCAACCTTCAGGAGTCGACAAGATTCCTCCTGGATATATTCAGAGAGTGACAGAATGTCAAGGTAAGAAAGAGATTTGCAGTAACACTGACCTGTGTACAAACAAGACTGGGTCAAAATCTAGTATATGGCTATATAAACTAGATATAGGGCTATATATATATACTGTATATACACTATATGCCTATGGTCAAATCCTGATTTTATAAACGCAACGTCGTCCAACAAAATCACTAAACACATAAAAGACAACGACAGTGATGTGATTTCAGCTGTATTTAGTGTAAATTAATTCCAGACAGAAAGTTAGAAGAGACGGAATATCTTTCTTTTTTTAAGTTATTTTTCAGGCTTTTGCCTTTATTACAGTCATAGTGAGAGAGAGAGAGAGAGAGAGAGAGAGAGAGAGAGAGAGAGCAACACGCAGCAAAAGGGCAACAGTCTGGACTCAAACCCTGGCTGCCACAGCAAGGATTAAGCCCAAATTGCACGAACTCTACCAGGCGAGTCACTGGGGCGGCCTGAGACGGACTATCTGTCTTATTTTGTCTTTCACAAAGAGCATAGACGCCGTCTGGGATCCACAATAGTTTAGCCTTTATTTACTCACAAGTCCAGAACGCAACAGACATTTATTGGAGGCAGATCTTTATGTCAAACTCCCTCTGTTTGATATGTAGAATTGTTCATAGCGGTCGGTACAAAGCCTCATTACTGATGACTTCTCGTTCTCTCTCCCTTTTCTCTGCTCTGTGTGTCATTTGTTTAGTTATTCCTCTACCTTCTTTAGTAATAATAATATACGTAATGAAAGTAGTTTGCTGTAATGGAGGTGATGTTCAGTGTATTGGAAGAGCTCCTCAGCTTCCTTGCAGTTCCCGATCAGTCAGGAAACCAGAACTGCCTGTAACAAGAGCTGTAGCCCTTACCCGCCATGTCAGCATCCTTACACGATCCAGTCATGTACCAGGTTTATACGCAATCTGTTTGAAAAAAGTCTCTAAATCCAGTAACAATGTGTTAAGTTGGCAACACTGCGGGATGTAAACACCACATGATAGACCCTGTTTGCACCAGAAACTCCAACTCAGTCAAGAACCACACAACTGACCAGTGGTGAAAATATCATCAGTCAGTAACATTACAGATTACAGGGCTGGCCCTGCTGTTGCGGTCCAGCCAAAATTGACATATACACTGAAATTAGACAGAGTGTCTTCATGACAGTGGTCAGAGGATATGTCAGATATGGTAGAAAGCCCTCACATGTACTGCACACATCACAAAAGAAAGATTTATTACTTTATGATTCCATGGAATAGTTTTGTGGAGAATATTTTCTAAGTGCAGAATATCATAAGTCTATAATTTATTTGTAAACTCAAGCATTTCAGCAACACAAGACAATAAAATTAGGAGGTTTTCCGTCTCTTTTTTAGGATGAGGCGGCTGAATTTGACAAAACACCGTGCAAGATTATAGAAATGATGACACTAAATCAAAATGATACAACCATTGTCTAATAAGGCAATTTAAAGGGTTTTGAAGTCATAATGAATGGCTTTATTAATGGATAATAGTTTGGTTAATAAATTACAGTAGATTATTTTTAAGCCATTGCCAAGAACAATATTTGGGCTGCCAGGTAGAGAAGAATCCTTTTAGCATGTGTATAACATCAGCATGACTCTTATTTTGTCCTTTGAGTTAAGTTTTAAATTCTTAATGAAGACCCAATAAAGTGCACCTTTTGACCACTTGTCTTCAGTAAAAGGGACCAAACACAAATGTCGTGTTAGAGGATGACCCAGCCAGTTAGCAAAACATTTATTAACCATTGACAAAGCTACTAGTTACAACTTCTAGAACCTTATACAGAAGGTATCATTATAAAGTGGTACCTAATTATAAAATATAATTTTCTATGTTAATACAGTTTGCTATGTTGTGTTGTAAGATAAATTTCTTGAATTGTAATTTATCAATGGAGAAATAGATATAACTTCGAGCACTGGTTCTAAAAATTGTCTCTATTTACAAACAATGAAAAAGACTATGTAACTTTAAGGTGGTGTCCTGCTGAAAATGTTGAAAATTAACAAACAACAGGGAAACAGGGGAAATACTCAGCAAGGCAACACATACTTATACTGCATTGTATAGATGCTTTTACTTCACTGAAAAGTCCAAAATGACTGCCATTACAACATAGCTCCTTCTTTGAAGTCTCTGAATAATTTGCACTATATTTTCTCACTTTAGAGAAAGATGCCAAAGACAAACTCAGAGCACACCTGAAGAAGAGAATCCTCAAAGATTATAAAGATGAAGAGAGTCAACATGAGAGTCACACAGACCTCTATGAGATAACAACTCTCAAAGACAAGGAGGATAAACAAACACTTGAAAAAGTAAAAAGCAAAGAAATATTTGGATCTTCACAGAAAAACCAAGTCCGAACAGTGCTGATGGAAGGAGTGGCTGGTATTGGTAAAACATTTAAATCAAGGAAGTTCATGGTTGACTGGGCAAAACAAAGATCCAACACAGACATAGACTTGATAGTACCATTTGATTTCAGTGACCTGAATTCAAGAAGAGACAAAGTTCAAAGTATGGAAGATCTGCTTAATCATTTCTTTAATGATATCAAGCAACAAAGAGTTCCCGCCTATGACAAGTATAACATAGCTTTCGTCCTTGATGGCCTGGAACAATGTCAACTTCATCTTGACTTTGAAAACAACAAGGACCTGAGTGATATAAAGGAGCGAGCCTCCATGGATGTGCTGCTAACAAACCTCATCAAGGGGAATTTGCTTCCCTCTTCTCGTCTCTGGATCATCTCTCAACCTTCAGGAGTCGACAAGATTCCTCCTGGATATATTCAGAGAGTGACAGAATGTCAAGGTAAAAAACAAGGACATTTTCATAGGTTATACTAGATTATGTGATCTCTATGTCATCATTTTTATTACACTGATCATTTTAAAATCCGGTATAATATGTGGAACATTTTCTATTTATTCAGAGACCTTGAAGCGCCGACAGCAGCTGGTATCAAGCCTGAAGGAAAGATTTAGTAGAGAAATCACTCAAGTTGAAGACACCAGTCATCCTAACCAGACGAACACAGAACACATCATTAGAAAAGTCAGCACAGACGAGGTCAATGATGAAGACAAAGATGGGCAGACTGTGCCAAAATCAGTCACAAAAGTCATTGAAATATCTGAAATCTTCAAAAATGAAACAGAAAAAACAATCAGAACTGTGCTGACTATCGGAGAAGCTGATATTGGAAAATCCTTCCATGTGCAAAAATTCATCAAAGTGTGGGCTGAAAATAAGAGTTCCTATTATACTCGGTTCACAGATTCACTAAACGCCATCAGGGGAAGAGCCAAAGATGAGGAACTTATATTTCCACTTACCTTCTCTAAGCTTAAGTTGATAAAAGAGAGAAATGTCAGTTTGGTGGGACTTCTTAATCATTTCTTCGAGGAAACCAAAGAATATGTCATATCTAACTATGCACATTTCAGAGTTTTATTTGTCTTGGATGGATTGGACACTTCTGAACTTCCTCTTGACTTCAACAACAGCGATGTCTTGACAGATGTCAGAGAGCCAGCCTCAGTGGATGTGCTACTGACAAACCTCATCAAAGGAAACCTGCTTCCTTCTGCCAAGCTCTGGATAACCTCCAGACCTTCATCTGCTAAACATCTACCTGAAGACTCATTTGACAAGGTGACAGAAATACGAGGTAAGCTCATAAAAACTTCATAAGGTTAGAGTCACACCCAAGCATGTTTACAGAAGTGCTGGGCTATATTTACTTAATTCATTTTAATTGAATATTTATTTTTTCATGCTGAGTAAAATGTCTATGTCATGAATATTAAGTTTTTGTAAAGTACCTAAGAGGTTTATTTTCACTCAAAAAGAAATGTAGATGATAGCTGTCTTCATTAGCTGTCTTGAGTCACAAGACTTGTGCAGATCAAGCTGGTTGACTTCCTGTTGGCTCCTTCACACTGGAATGGGAGAAAATCATTTAATCATATGGCTCTTCTCGACATTCCAAATATTTTTGGACCGAATGGGGATCCACAATACATTAACTTTTATTAACTTCCAACTGCAGAACGTAACAGACGTTTATTAGAGGAAGGTTTTTATGTCTAACTCCCTCTGTTTGATATGTAGAATTGGTCATAGCAGTTAGTGCGAAGCCTCGTTACAAATGACTTCTCTCTCTCCCTCCCTTTCTCTCTGCTCGATGTGTCTTATGTTTAGTTATTCCTCTGCCTCCTTTATTAATTATGATACATGTGATGACAGTAGTTTATTTTCCATAATGGAAGCGAGGTTCAGTGTATTGAAAGAGCTCCTCTGCAGTTCCCAAGCAGCTGGGAAACCAGAGTAGCTCGGAAGCCAGCCCTATATCCATCATGATTCCATGGAAGAGTTTTGTGAAGAATATTTTATAAGTGCAGAATATCACATAAGTCTATAATTATTTGTACACTTGAGCATTTCAGCAACATAAACCAAAACAATTAAGATGTTTTCTGTCTTTTATTATTTAGGATGAGGCGGCTGAATTTGACAGAACAAAATGGAAGATTATAGAGATGATGACACAAAATCATAATGATACTACCACTGTCTAATAAGGCTATTTAAATGGTTTTGAAGGCATGATGAATGGCTTTAATAACGGATAATAGTTTGGTTAATAATTTGATTATGTACNTAGAAAGCCCTCACATGTACTGCACACATCACAAAAGAAATATTTATTACTTTATGATTCCATGGAATAGTTTTGTGGAAAATATTTTATAAGTGCACAATATCACATAAGTCTATAATTATTTGTACACTTGAGCATTTCAGCAACATAAACCAAAACAATTAAGATGTTTTCTGTCTTTTATTATTTAGGATGAGGCGGCTGAATTTGACAGAACAAAATGGAAGATTAGAGATGATGACACAAAATCATAATGATACTACCACTGTCTAATAAGGCTATTTAAATGGTTTTGAAGGCATAATGAATGGCTTTTTTAACGATAATAGTTTGGTTAATAATTTGATTATATAGTCGATCATTTTTAAGCCATTGCCAAGAACAATATTTGGGCTGCCACGTAGAGAAGAATCCCTTTAGCATGTGTGTATCATCAGCATGACGCTTATTTTGTCCTTTGAGTTGGGTCTTTTATTCTTAATAAAGACCAAGTGCACCTTTTGACCACTTGTCTTCTGTAAAAAAAAGACCAAAAGCAAGTGTCATGTTAGAGGATGAATCAGCCAGTTTTTCAGAACTTAGTAACCCAAATGTTTTTTCTAATTTATGCTTTAAATTTGATCTATAACACATTAGTAAAACATTTATTAACCTTTAACAAAGCTACTAGTTACAGCTACTAGAACCTTCATAGAGTAGGCATAAGTATTAAGTGGTAACTTAAAACATATCATTTTCTACATTAATACAGTTTGCTTTATTAATATAAGCACATCAAAGAAACTCCATTGCACAGTATGTCTGATTTTCAGGGAATGGCCTGAGTTCAGGGTTAACAATTTTCAAATCTAAAGAGAGAGCACTGGATCTAAAAATGTATTTATTTTTTGCTTACACTGCATTATCTAGATGCCGTCACTTCACTCCAGAGTGCAAAATTACTGTGATTACAACATAACTCCTTCTTTGAAGTCTCTAAACAATTTCTACAATATTTTCTCACTTTAGAGACTGAAGAGGCCATTAAACAGAGACTCAGAAAACACCTGCAGAGGAGAATTGTCAAGGATTATGAAGATGAAGAGAGTAAACAGGAGAGTCACACAGACCTCTACGAGATAAAAACTCTCAAAGACACAGAAGATAAAAAAACACTTGAAAAAGTAAAAAGCAAAGAAATATTTGGATCTTCACAGAAAAACAAAGTCCGAACAGTGCTGATGGAAGGAGTGGCTGGTATTGGTAAAACATTTAAATCAAGGAAGTTCATGGTTGACTGGGCAAAACAAAGATCCAACACAGACATAGACTTGATAGTACCATTTGATTTCAGTGACCTGAATTCAAGAAGAGACAAAGTTCAAAGTATGGAAGATCTGCTTAATCATTTCTTTAATGATATCAAGCAACAAAGAGTTCCCGCCTATGACAAGTATAACATAGCTTTCGTCCTTGATGGCCTGGAACAATGTCAACTTCATCTTGACTTTGAAAACAACAAGGACCTGAGTGATATAAAGGAGCGAGCCTCCATGGATGTGCTGCTAACAAACCTCATCAAGGGGAATTTGCTTCCCTCTTCTCATCTCTGGATCATCTCTCGACCTTCAGGAGTCGACAAGATTCCTCCTGGATATATTCAGAGAGTGACAGAATGTCAAGGTAAAATACAAGGACATTTTCATAGGTTATACTAGATTGTGTGATCTGTATGTCATCATTTTTATTACACTGATAATTTTAAAAAGTGGTATAATATGTTGAACATTTTCTACTTATTCAGAGACCTCAAAGCGCCGACAGCAGCTGGTATCAAGCCTGAGAGAAAGATTTAGTAGAGAAATCACTCAAGTTGAAGACACCAGTCATCCTAACCAGAAGAACACAGAACACATCATTAGAAAAGTCAGCACAGACGAGGTCAATGATGAAGACAAAGATGGGCAGACTGTGCCAAAATCAGTCATAAAAGTCATTGAAATATCTGAAATCTTCAAAAATGAAAACAGAAAAACAATCAGAACTGTGCTGACTATCGGAGAAGCTGATATTGGAAAATCCTTCCATGTGCAAAAATTCATCAAAGTGTGGGCTGAAAATAAGAGTTCATTTTTCACTTGGTTGAAAGATTCAGCAAATGCCATCAGGGGAAGAGCCAAAGATGAGGAACTTATATTTCCACTTACCTTCTCTAAGCTTAAGTTGATAAAAGAGAGAAAAGTCAGTTTGGTGGGACTTCTTAATCATTTCTTCGAGGAAACCAAAGAATATGTCATATCTAACTATGCACATTTCAGAGTTTTATTTGTCTTGGATGGATTGGACACTTCTGAACTTCCTCTTGACTTCAACAACAGCGATGTCTTGACAGATGTCAGAAAGCCAGCCTCAGTGGATGTGCTACTGACAAACCTCATCAAAGGAAACCTGCTTCCTTCTGCCCAGCTCTGGATAACCTCCAGACCTTCATCTGCTAAACATCTACCTGAAGACTCATTTGACAAGGTGACAGAAATACGAGGTAAGCTCATAAAAACTTCATAAGTAAGGGTAGAGTCAACCCCAAGCATGTTTACAGAAGTGCTGGGCTATATTTACTTTATTTTATTTGAATATTTTTTTGTCATGCTGAGTTATACGTCTATGTCAGGTAAATGACGTTTTTGTAAAGTACCTAAGAAGTGTATTCTCACTCAGAAACAAATGTAGATGATAGCTGGCTTCATTAGCTGTCTTGAGTCACAACAGACCAAGACTTGTGCTGGTCAAGCTGGTTGACTTCCTGTTGGCTCCTTCACACCAGAATAATTTAATTTAATCATATTGCTTTTCTTGACATTCCAAATATTTTTGGCCTGAATAGATCAAATTCCCTCCTCTCTGCTTGGTGTGTTATGTTTAGTTATTCCTCTTCCTTCTTTAGTAATAATGATACATGTAATGAAAGTAGGCCTGCATGATACGAGGAAAAATTGCAATGTGCAATAACATTGTTCAATATTGCAATGACTAAACAAATATTGAAGTGTGCACATACAGTTTTGTTTGAAGCTGAATGAAAAACACAGACAAAGGTCACTATCACTAATGTCCTCCATCCTCCTCCCTCTGCTGCAGGTAATGCTGCTGAGAGGGGGAGGCTGCTGATGTTTATACCTGCAAGCAGTTTATATCTCTAAATCTAATGACAATGTGCTAAGTTGGCAACACTGCAGACTGTAAACACCTCCCTTATAGAAACTGCACCAGAATCTCCAACTCAGTGACAAGGCACTCGGCTGACCAATGGTGGAAATATCATCAGTCAGTCAGTCAGCCAGACACCAACATCCCAGATTACAGGGCCAGCCCCGCTGTTGAGGTCCAGCCAAGATATTAATCTTCATATTCAGAGTAATTCAGTAATTACTTATTAGTGAATTAATCTATTTTCAGGTCATTCTTGATTCAATACTCACTTACTTTTCTTGGTAATCCCTCAGGACTGTGTGTACCTTATTGCACAGTGTTACCAGACAAACAATAATAAACTTGGAGCCATTCATGTCTCTGCCTTCCACACACAGCCCATGTCACAGGGTAACTACACGAGCTCTCTCTCTGACATAGTTTAGTGAGTCTAATTAAGTCTAATTTAGTTTAGATTAGTGTTACCCCAGAACTAAATGGACTCTTACTAAAAATGCCTTTAATAAGACATATTAAAACACTAAAATTAATAATACGTAACAATGGAGCATCACCAGCACGAGTGTGCACTCAGGAGCACCCTCACATGTGTGACAGGCTTGTGAGCCAGTGAAAAACAGAAGCATAATTTTACCTGTTTACATTTGATACCATATTATATCTTTACAATTGTATTGGGAATGGTGCAAATTAGTGCTTTAATGAGTAAACCATTAAGTGTGAAAACAGCCTAATTCAGGATAGTAAATGAAGACAGGAGAAATATCATGACAGTCATATTCAGCCACTTCTTTAGCAGATTCTTAACAAAAGAGAATGTGCTGCACAATTCAACAAAGGGTTCAGATGTGGGACCACTACCGTGGCTTATGTCACTCTTTGGACAAACCTTGCTTCTCTTTTAGTTGGAGAGTGTGTATTTAAACAAATGTAAAATATATCATGTAATCCTATGTACTATGATAATTTATGATCATTTTTATATTTTCTTACAGAGAAGCCTGATATCACCAGTCAACGCAACCTCAAATCTCAGCTGAAGGAGCAATTTGCCCGGGTGTCTGAGGGGATTGATAGGCAGAAAACATCTGCTCTTCTGAATGAGATCTACACAGATCTCTACATCATAGAGGGGGAGAGGGGAGAAGTCAATGCTCAGCATGAGTCCAGACAGGTTCAAGAGGCGAAATACAAACCAGAAGAAACACCAATTAAATATCATGACATCTTCAAATCGGGAGAAAATAAACCCATTAGAACTGTGCTAACTATTGGAGTGGCGGGCATTGGAAAAACATTTGCATCAATGAAGTACATGCTGGACTGGGCGGAGGGTACAGCCAATGAAGACATATATTTCACATTTCCACTTCCATTCCGGGAGCTGAACTTGAGAAAAGAGGGCGAACACAGTTTTGAGGAACTTCTTCATCAATTCTTTCCCACTATGAAGAAATCAGAAATAAAGGACTATGACAAGTATCAAATTCTGATTGTCCTGGATGGCTTGGATGAATGTCGCCTTGATCTTAACTTCAGTGAATGTGTGGATTGGACAGATGTGAGAGAGGTAACTTCAGTAAGTGTTCTGCTAGCAAACCTTATCAAAGGAAACTTGCTTCCTAAAGCTCAAATCTGGATCACATCCCGACCTGCCATATCCAATATTATCCCTGCTGATAAAGTTGCCCGGGTTACAGAGGTCCGAGGATTCAATGATGACCAGAAGGAGGAGTACTTCAGGAAGAGATTTAGTGATAAGGATAAGGATTTGGCAGAGAAAATCTTGTCACATGTCAAGAAATCAAGAAGCCTTTATATCATGTGTCACATCCCAGTCTTCTGTTGGATCACTTCACAAGTTCTGGAGGACTTATTTAAACTACCCCCAGAAAAAGAAGAAGAAGAAGAGAAGATGCCCAAGACTCTGACTGACATGTACATACACTTTCTTTTGCTGCAATGCAGACAGGCTAATGTGAAGTATGGAGAAGAGGGGACAAGTGAGAGTTCTGAAGCAGATTCATGCTGGAATACAAGGAACAAGGAAACAGTCCTATCTTTAGGAAAACTGGCTTTCGAGGAACTAGAGAAAGGAAACCTTCTCTTCACCGAAGAAAACCTGGCAGACTGCGGTACTAACATAGAAAAAACTGCGGTTTTCTCAGGGTTGTTCACTCAGGTCAAACGAGAAGAATGTGGGCTGTACCAGAAGAAGTTTTTCTGTTTTGTCCATCTGAGCATTCAAGAGTTTCTGGCAGCTTTTTATGTCTCTCACACATTCAGTAACAAATGTGAAAATCTGCTTGCAGACTCTCCTGCATCAGACTTCTACAAGACAGCAGTGGACAAGGCTTTAGATAGCAAAAATGGAGACTGGGATCTGTTTCTCCGCTTCCTGCTTGGTCTCTCTCTGGAGACTAATCAAAATCTACTGCAAGAGGTGCTGAAAAAGACAGAAAATAACAAGGCGACAAACAAAGAAACAATTAAGTACATCAAAGGGAAGATCAATGAAGAGATCAGTGATGCAGATAAAAAGATCAATCTTTTCCACTGTTTGAATGAGCTGAATGATCATTCTCTTGTTAAAGAAGTCAAAAAGAAACTACGGTCTCAAAGGTTTGAAAATTTTTCTGCCTCCCAGTGGTCGGCTCTGACCTTTGTGCTGCTGATGTCAGATGAAAATCTTGATGTGTTTGATCTGAAAAAGTACCTGAAATCAGAGAAAGTTCTTCTGGGAATGTTGCCAGTGGTCAAATTCTCCAAAACTACTTCGTAAGTACTTAAAAAAATTATTATTCTTGCAAATATGATTTTATTATCTTGCTATTAACAACAAAATCTAAATCTACTTATTTCAGGATTCTTGATCTATCATTAGGCTTGTTGTGTTGTTGCCAGCACTGGCACCCACCAAAATAAACCAAACAACCCTTTATAACTACCTCACCCTAGTAACCACCATACACCTCTGTCTTTATTATCATCAACATGCTAATCAACAAATAGCTCACAACATTTTAAGCTAACTAGCATGTTGTCAACACTGGTATCATAAGGCCTAATCCACCAAACTAAACAAACATGCCTCCTCAGCTACCTCATACTTCAAATCAACAGAAAATACACTGCTAGCATGTGAGGAAGCAGATTTTTTTTTTCTTTGGCGTATGTGCCCAGCGAGCAAATTTTGTAGGAATAAAGGGTATGCAATCTTTGAACGCAGCATCCAGTTCTCCTTAATACATGCATGGACAAAACTGATTTGCCTATATCTTAGTTGTTTTCGCTTATATGCCATTTGTCCTGCATTCTCTATGGTACCGTAAGCTCTTCAAATACACAACATGCTCTGTTTCTACCCACAAGTTACACATTTTCCAGCCCCTTCCTTCAGCAGCTACACATCATTCAAAAGTGCTGCCTGTTCACCCCCTCAATACAATGTTTCCTTTTTGAATCTGGTGAGTTTACTTCCAAACACTTGCTCTTCTAAACACTACTTCAAGACACTTAAGCACTTGTCTCCAGGTAAACCCCCCTTGATAGGGCTTGGTTTATAGAATGTGCTGAAGTGAAGCTATACCTTAAGACAAAGAACATGTTGGGTCCTTTACTAACCTTATCCCAAGATTTTTTGTCATAAATTAATCCTAGCATCAATCTAATCCTGCCTGCCTCACAAGTCCCTCCAGCCAAGTTTCTTATTTTATACGTTTTCCAAATTCACCACCTGACTCTGCTTTGCCAAAGAAAGCAATTCAATTCAATTCTATATGTATGTATGTATATATATATATATATATATGAGAAAGCAATGAGCAAGCACTTGGTGACAGTGGAGAGGAAGAACTCCCTTTTAAGGAATCATCTTCATCATCACTAAGTATCAGTATATGGCTTAATAACTTGATCAAAAAAGAAGTCAGGTGCCATGTTGGCTCGCAAAATTGCGCAACATCTACATTAGAAATCTTCTGCCATTTTTCTGCAAAATTGGGCAAGCTACAGTATAATTACACACCACAGCCAAATAAGTGCAACAACACTAACATGATCCCTCACTGTCTTCCCATTTACCATAATCCCAAAGCCAAAGAATTAAAAGCAGTTAGCCAGTGCAACAGTGCACAGCTGATGTGTCCGGCAAGATTTCTGATTACAAATCTTTTTACAGGCTGAGTTGGTGCGAGCTCACTGAGGAGTCCTGCAAAGGTCTAACATCCTCAGTCCTCAAGGCTGCATCCTCTAACCTCACAAATCTGGACCTGAGTCATAATGACCTGCTGGATTCAGGTGTGGAGCTACTTGGCGAAGGCCTAAAGAGTGTACATTGTAAACTGGAGATTCTCAAGTAAGTGTATATTTCATTTACTATGCATTTTTAACAACAGAAAACCCACACAATATCACAAACAGGGTTGGGGGTTGTAATGTATAAAAATGCAAAGTGGTTCTACTACGTCCTTAAATTTGCACATTGACCATATGTGGTCGAGCCATATACTAGGTTTTGACCTAGTTTTGTTTGCCATTTGTACTGTATACTGTCCTGATATAAAAATCTATGGGAAATTACACCGTCCTTCACATTGTAGTTTACGTGTGTTTCCTTTGTTTTCATAATCAGGACACATACTTAAGCACTTAGTCAGCATTAAGGCCTGGTCACACATTAGACTGCAGTAGTCTAGATAATTCATGGAAATGCAGTGACAGAATTTAAAGCAAATTGTTCAAAATGTATAAACAACAACCTGTCAGGAAATAAACACTTTCATTTGTGATGTCATAACCAGAAACATAAACACCTGTGTGTGTGTGTGTGTGTGTGTGTGTGTGTGTGTGTGTGCGTGTGCGTGTGTAGGCTGTCAGGTTGTCAGGTGACAGAGAAAGGCTGCTCTGTCCTAGCCTCTGCTATCAAGTCCAACACAGCTTCTCACCTGAAACATCTGGATCTCAGTTACAATCACCCAGGAGACAACGGGGAAAAGGAGCTCTCTGCTATACGTGATGATTCAAATATGAAGCTGATGACACTGTGGTATGTTAAGATATCAGGATGTACTACTATACATCTACACACCAAATCTAATAGAAGAAGAAATCATGAATCACTTTGCTGATTTGATTCATTTTGTTCAGTTCAGTTCAGTTCAAAGATTCATACTTACTGACTAGTTAAATATAAGCTAAGTGGTTAAATCGCTTAATCTGTACTTAAATTGAAAATTCCAGTTAGTGACAGTACCACTATCTTCCTTTTGTTTAGTTTGGACCATTGTGGAGCGCATCGGTTAAAGCCAGGACTGAAGAAATGTAAGTCTTTTTCTGGAACTGACTTCCAGTATTTTATTACTTCAGTATATCGTCATGCCTGATAGTTTTGAAATGATGATCAGATAATATGCCTGTCGCCAAATGTCACTGGTAGTACAGGTTGTAATAATGTATACTTTTTACCATGAGACATCTTTGACTATTTGTAAAAGTTGTTGCTATTTTTTTTCAAGTTTTCAATCAAGTTTAAAATTACAAATAAAATTCATATCTACTCTTCTTTTAGATATCATCTTCATTTGTGTTGTTTGGCATGCTTAAATGTTTTGTAGTCTTTTAACTGCACAAAAACCACTTAACACACTGAATTATGTGTTGTTTGTATCTGTTAGATGTTGCAGACCTGAGGTTCAATGAGGACACAGCAAGCAGGAGGCTTGTTCTTTGTGAAGGGAACAGAAAAATCAAAACTGTACACAAGGTGGAGGAGAAGGTTGCACGACCTGAAAACGACGAAAGGTTTAAGAGGACTCAGGTGTTTTGTGAGGAGGGTCTGCAAGGTCTCTGCTACTGGGAGGTGGAGTGGAAAGGAATGGTTGGCATTGCAGTGTCATATAGAGAGGTGGGTAGGAAATGGGACAGAAATAGTGGCCTAGGATGCAATAACATGTCCTGGAGTCTGCTCTGCTCAGGCATTGGATACACTGCCATACATGGAAATACATCCGAACAAATTCAACTGTCTCCTTGCCAAAAAATAGCAGTGTTTCTGGATTGGGATGGTGGCTCTCTGAGTTATTACAGTGTCACATCAGGAGAGCTGAGCCTCATACACACCTTCCATGCCAAATTCACAAAACCACTCTTCCCAGGCTTCTGGTTTAAGAGAGGCACTGTGACTTTGTGTGAGATAGAGTGAACACCTCTGAGATGGGAAAAAGTGATTGACTTGATGTTCTACTTGACATTTTGATAGATTAGCAAACTGCATCATTTCAGTACCATAATATGAAACATTACTATGTTGTGTTGTTTTTCTTTAATGTTCACACTATAAGTCAATATTAACATTGCAAAGGAAGAAATGAAGTGAAACCACTGACTGTTATATTAACAATATGATGATTGTGAAAATAAATACAAACTGTTGTAAAACATCAAGCTGTGAAATGAAAAACTGTCTTTTTATGCAAAATGTTTATATCATTGTCAACATTAAGTTTTCACAAATGTTTACTTACAATGTACATTGTGTTCACAATATTAATCATTCTGATACTTCAGGTGGCATCAAGCTCCTCTATGGCTAGTTGCTTTGTGAGCTGATAAAACCTGTGTACACGGTTTGTGATACACTTAATGTTTTTTACTTTATTGTTTGCCTAAATTGATGAAAGTATTAATGATTTCCTTAAACTAGTCTAGTGTTTTTTTCTACAAATGTTTTTCTACTAAATGTTCAAAGAAAATAGTTTCATTTACATTTTAATCTATTTCATGTTTAAATGTGCACACGTGGGTTAGACTGTAAGAACCCACAGTCTGTTTATAGAGAACCACTCTATTACAGCCATAATAAATTGTCACAATTTTATTTTTGTTTTTATGTAATGTTGGACATGGCTGCCAGGGGGGATTTCATTTTGGATTATCTATGTGCACTCATTGGTACATTTACAAATACTATGTAAAATATATTAAAGGTTGAAACATGCAGACTAATGACATTCTTCTTTATAGTTATTTTTACCAAATTATATCGTTATGCCTGTAAAATAAAACTGCTTTTTATTCAACTGAACTGATCTGTATGTGTGTATAGTATATACATTGATACATATATGTAGGTAAGTGTATACATAACTATATATTTAATTTGCAAAAAGTTTTTTTTCTTCCCCATTTCTGTTACTGAAGTCTGTTTTTCTTATCCTACTTTCTTCCATTTTGTTGCCAATTTGATTTTTATTACAATTTAATTCAATTTTGTCTTATTTTTTTACTAATTTTGTCTTATTGTGTGTACAATTGACAGACAGCACAATGACATTGTGCCATGATTCATTTACCTTTCCTTCCAGACGGAGGGAAAAAAGTGCTGAGAGTTGTACCATGTTATGTAGAGAAAGCCTGGTCAATAGAGAGAAATAAATGGGTGAGTGAATGCAGATGCATGTTCAGTCTCCAGATCACGCACACACACACACAGCTTTTGGGCTAATAAATTAGTGTGCACTGACTCATTCACTCTGACCTACTGCTGTATCAGAGAAATGTCCTTATTGTAGGTTAATGGCTGTAATGGAGAAGCGTTTACATTTCCACCTTTTCCATTTACCTAGATTTTAATGCATTTCTTACACACTCATAGGTTGTTATTACAGAGTTAGTAGTGGGGAGGTTTGACATATCACTAACATATGATCAAAAGTGCAGACCTGTTCAGATGACAGAAAGGTGCATTAGAAAGGGTCTTATCCATGATGCCATGAAGCAATGAGAAATCAAAGGAAATATTCCTGTGTCTGTAATTATCAATGATAACTTACAAGAGGCTATATGAAGTTATAAAAAGTTATAAACTGCTCCAAAACTGAATCATATTAAATTGGATGGCAATCAGCAGAATTTGTCAGCTACAATAGAGGTTTTACAAGCAGCAATTTTATAATCACCACTTAAAAAGTAATATGAGAAAACTAGCAGAGCTAAAAAGAGGCTCAATCAGCTGTGCCCAGATAGCAGGAAGATTAGACAAAAACATCAAATCAAAATTTTAAGTAGAAGTGACAAAAGATTTCAAAGACAGACAATAATGTTTTAAGAATAATCATAAGACAATAAAGATAGTAATTTAACTATAACTATTAATCTATCTCCTGCAATTTATTGTATCTCAGTATCTCTTAAGAATTCAAAAGAAGCTTATCTTGATGAATGTGATGTATGTGCACTTGAGAGACAAAGATTTTAAAGGCTTCATGAAGCTTCATGCATGAATGTGGGCACATTGAATCTTAAGACAACTCTGTCAAGCTACCCTCAGGAACCCCAAAGATGAATGAATGAAATTCATGCAGAAGGAATGCACAAGCTGCTTAGATCCACTGTGTACAACATGAAATATCACATCTGAGGAAATAAAGGCAGCATGTGGGGTGTTGATAGAAGATTCAGTGGTGTGCAATGTAAACTTACAGAGGTAATACAAGGACGAATCCCTTGTTATTTTAGAGTGTTACTAGGTCTGTCAGCATAGTATTCCTACTCGCCATATTAATTGCTAAAGTTAGAGCTGCACTATTCAATTTCTTTTATATTAAAAAGGGATCATGCTTATAGTGACAAAGTGCAGTCATCACCCAAGATTTCATTCCTGGTTGATTTGACGACACCTGCAGTTCCTGGTGTTAACAACACATGTGGTTTAATACCACAAGTCACAGGGTTCTGGTGGCAGTGAAACAAACTATTGTCATTTTAATAAAGACATTTTAATAAAGACATCCTTTTAAAAAAGCCCTTTTCCACAATCTGTGAGCAATAGAGATCTGATTTCATGCTGTACATGGCATAAGCCTATGAATTGTAGGGCGCAATGAAAGGAGTTGGTTGTTTCTCCAGTTAAATGCTTTAAATGTGAAGCTACAACAGTAGGAAATATTTCGTTTGAATTAGTAGCAACTTAATACAAGCATTTTTTGTGGCCACAGACGCCCAGTTCATACAAATGCAAAAAAATATTGCAATACTGTCATCACTGGGCCATAGGCTCAATCACCATCATGTTAACTCATTCAGTGAAAGACAGTGACTACACAGATGTTTACTCAAGTGAAAATCTTTGAGATTGCCTCTTTAAAGCATGTCTCAGCTTACTGTTTATGGCATCAACATGCTGCTATTTTCAGTGAAAAACCTTTGAAACCTCCTGTCCAGCACCAAACAGCAGACCACCGCAGTTAGCCATTAGCTTGTGAAAACACAGGAGCGTTTAGCAGCTAAAAAGAGATATTTCCCTTGTTTGACGATACTCACCATCACGACTTTATACGATGATGATGTGTTGCCAGGTTTTCTGCTTCACCAAGTGGCCAAAACATCAAACTGTAAACACAACACTGACACATTAACATCCTATAAAGATTCATAAAAAAGATTAATTTCTTTTACACTGCCTTTCTGAGAGATCACACACAACTGAAGAGGAGCGATGTCGTCACATGCAGGGGCTCTATGCTAATCGACAGCTAGCTAAGTTAGCTAAGTAACGCTAGCTGTGGCTTATATATCGTTAAAAACCATCAAAGTCACGGGCAGCTTGTCTAAGCTAACATCTCGTTATGTTAGTGCAATTATTGTTTGTATAAAAATATTAACATTTCTTACTTACCAGATACTAATGATGAACACAAAACACCACAGAGCAATGCGCTGTCACAGCCTGGGATTTGCAGACAGGACGCGGTCTGCGCTCCGTTTCGACAGCGACCGGTTTCAAGTCTACTTTCCATTTACTTTCCGTGCCTGGCTGGATGCCTCGTTTCTATTGGCCGCGCGGGTATTCGTCACAGCGCGCAGGTGTCAAAGTTCAACTAGATTGAAATTTGACAGCTGCGCTCACTCGAGCAGGGGCAACGCGCCGCGGCACAAGTCACTGGGGCTATTTTAAAACTTTTATTCAGCTGCTTCCTACCACTGAAAATGACACACTAATGAGAGCAGTTAAAATGAACCATAACAATAAAGTTGTGGGCTAAAAAACAAATAAAAGGAACTGAAATATGCTAAAATGCTTCATAGAGCTGAGGAGAAACGGTAGTCAGCTGAGTTCATCACTTCAAGCAACATCTTTTACATTACACATTTTATTAGTGTAGCTTTAAGCAAGTACAATATCATAATTGAGGGAAAAGATGGATACAAATGTGAAGATAAGTAGTTATAGTAGTGTTCATAAACAGATAGTATCCTTTAACTATTTGTACAAACAGGTGTTTTTGTGCTAAATCTATTTAGCTATAGTTCAGGCAGTCGCAGACGTGCATGCACAACATAAAATTAATTCCATTCTATTTCTTCTGGCCTGCCCTGACAATAAATGCTGTGTCTGGCAATTGTCATTTTGGTTCATATACACCTGACAAGGCAAATAAGGACAGTGAAGTTACATAACCCAGACTCAAATCCAGATTTTTCTCTCTGCTTCTCTATCTGTAGTGTTCTCCTTTTCTCTCTTGTTTCTTTCTCAACACACACCTATCCAAACACATGCATACACACACATCAGAGACAGCGGAAGTGGAAGAATTCCCAGGTGGCTTCAAGCTAAAAGAACTCATCTCTTATTAAAGTGAGCTTCTGACCACTCGACGGGGCCTTTGAAAGAGTAATCTTGTGAATCCTACTCCCTCCCTTTCATGCTGAGACACACGGCCCTTTCAGCTTTACACATCTCAGCCCAGCTCGAGCGGCTCGGCCCTCGTTAGCTGGCTGTTGAATATTTAATGTTCCCCAAACTTCAGAGAAAGAGAGAGGCAGTGGACAAAAAAGAACAAGATACGAGCAGGCAACCTGACACGATCACATAGTGGCAGCGAGAACACGTACACAGCAGATGACGTAGTTTGAGGATGTTAGTGTGCATCAATTCAGTTTTACCGGGAAAATAAACCATTATATGTGTAAATGTAGACACTGATACATATGTTTTGCCCTCTTTCTGTCTGGTCTGTTTCATACGTGCTGTCTTTTTTATGAATGGCCTAGTGAGAGTAGGCTATTGGCATTTTAGAAGTTTGTAACACACACATGCGTGCACACACACACCACAATGAACACACCAACTCCTCAGGATTAGCTTTAATATATTCAGTATGTTCTTCTTTTTTCAATCACTGAACTCAGGGAGGCTCAGTGGAAGGGATTAATCTATATTCATTAATAAAGCTTTTGTGGGATGTATTCTAATAAATGCAGTTAATTTACATACATCACACACAAATAAACATGCATTAACACAGTCAAATGCATGCATGCTGTGCTTTTTATAAATGCAAACTGCATACGCCACACTTTCTAAAAGTTTCACACCAGCTGCTTTGTAAAATCACATTTACATTTCTAGCCTCTTTTCCTCTTACTCTAGCTCTCTCTTCTTGTCGTTTTCAACCTGCCGTAAGAGTGGCTGTGGCCTGAAGGCAGGCTTTGTTAGCTGGACATCGTGAGAGCATCAT